ATTATATTTACTTTACTTATATTTTTTTACTTATTTTTCCTTTTTCTTTTTTTTTAACTTTACTTTTTCTTTTTTAATAATAATAATAATAATAATAACAACTTCTATAAATTATTTCTTTCTTTATTCTATTTTTTTTAAAAATTACTAATTATTTAGACTTACTATAATATTAGTAGCCTAAGCTTTCTATAAGTACTTTTTAAAAAAAAGTACTAAAAAGCCTTTTATAAAAAAGAATAGTACTAAAAAGTCCCTTATTACTAAAGCCCTAGTAAAGAAACTGGAAAGGGGCAGGGTTTCGCGTTTTCATTTTTCCTTTTATCAGCCTGCAGACACAATCACAGGCCTGATCAGATGTGACTAAGCAGGACCCTTCCAAGTACAAAAGGGGGCTCTAGTCAGATACTATCACAGAGATCGGGATCTCATCACGAAGCAGACAGAGAAGCTTGACATCTTTAGACAGGCACTTAGACAGACACGGACGAATTCATCACTTTGATATCTAAACAAGACGTGTAATAAGTGACTGTTGCTTTGTTTCCTTAGGCCTGACTAGACCTCTAAGGTCTAGGAGGGTATCCTCCTCCTCCAGAGATCACGACACACACATGCGTACCACTTAGCAACAAGGGCAAATCCGAACAGACTGCAAGACGTGAAGGATACACTTTTCTGGTTTGCTCATGGCCCTGATCAGGCCAAGGAGGACCTGAAAAGAGTAGTATCTCACGGTCTAGGCGTTGGGGTAGTCACTTGGGGTAATCGGTCACTCCAGGTGCACTCGTGACGATACTGGGACCTTGGTGTTTGGTGTGGTTTGTGTGTCAACTGCCCACTTGCTGGCTTCCTTTATCCCACGCAGTTTCAATGGTGCCTCGTGGCGGAATCGAACCGCCGATCTTCTCATTGTTTTATTTCGATTACGCGACAAATCCGATATCAGTACCTCGAAAATAGCTTCAACCAACAGAACATATCATCGAAAAGATATGAAGGAAACGATATCCTCGACCTGATCAGACTCAGTCCCAGACGTGGGAGTGAGCCTGACCCTGAGAAACCGCAATGGACAAGACCCAAGAAAAGCGGGATTCTTCGAAAAAGCAAAGAAACGAACGACCAGCCATGACGACACAATACGGCCAGACAAACCTTCCGCGTGGGCGATCCTTTTGTGGGCAAGCACTGAGCAAGCCCAATCGGAGAAAGGAGCCCGCAAGACGTGAGAGGAAGAAGAAAAACGATAAGATAAGAATGATACCTTCTGCTGGGATCAGTGAGCTAAGAAGCTCTCTCAGCGTAGGTTACGGAATGATCACGACCACGAACCAAGCCCAGAACTTCTCGAGATCTTGTTATCATGCAAGCCTCGGTCTGATCAGGTTCGACATTGCGCTATTAACGGAGACTAAACGTCTCAGCGTTGATGGATCGGCAGCAATGGAAATTCAACGTTCCTTTAGGATTGGCCTGGACTTGACGAGCACCCCCTTTGGAAACTCAATCAAGGACGCAGTAAACCAATGCCTTATAAGAACATATGAAATACTGCTCCCAAGTCTGATCAGGTTGACAGACTGGGCCAGGCAGCAACTCCGAAGAGATTTTACGCGCAGCACCCCAAGATCAATTCAGAGTGATCGATACCATTTACACTTCCCACAACTGGCCTGCCAGGATATCAGCAACATGTCTGAGCCGACCCCATCAACGACCGACACGGGGCAGCTCGGAGGTCTGACTGATCAGGCAGCCTCATTCGCCGGTGAAGCTTTCCAGAGTTACCGAGGCCCTGACGACAATGTGGACACTGAGTCTGAGACCGGTCCTGGGATTCCCAACTTCGGAACCACCAAGAGAAGCGAGGGCAAGGACCCAAGCTCAGGCTATCGGCAGTACAAAGGGAGTCCTGATCAGGCCGGCGAGGACATAAGCCCTTCCCCTGATCTGGCACCAGACTCCCTTACTGCGGCAGACTTCCGGGCCCAGCAACTCTTGATGGCGAACCTATTAACAATGGTCAACGCAAGCATGACCAAGGACCAAGGGTCTGTTAAGCCTGATCAGGGCGGGACAGATTACCTGCGTCGGTCAACCATCAAGATGCCACCGCCGGACACCAAAGGGGCCCCCACCTTTGATGGCTGTAACATCACCGATTTCCTTGACAAGTATGAAGCCTTGACTGGGCTTGCTGGTTACTCTGACAAAGAGAAGACAAAAGCGTTGCCATGGTACTTACCTGATGAACACCGAGCAACGGTGAAGATCAAGGCTGAAAAGGAGACTTGGCAAGAACTAAGCAAGTTCCTTCTTGACACTTACGGACAACTCGACGAAGAAGTCATCCTTCAACCGAACCGCCGCATCAAGGACCTTATGAAGGGAGACTTGATCAGGGACGATAACCTGACAGAAACTGCAACTTTGTTTCAGAAGGTTGAGAGCGTAAGAGAAAAGGCAAAGGCTAAAGGGAAGCCTGTGATGGGCGCCCAAGAGCTGATTGAGCTTTTTGCTATGCGATTTTCCGAAAACACGATTATGGCAGTGTCCTTGCAGATGGGACTTTCCCCTGCTGATCTGTTTGAGAGAGGGAACTTCAGCGCCTTCAAGAGGGCAATGCTCGCATGGGTGGGACAGAAGTCAAGATACAAGGGTCATTACGGAGATTCTGACACTTCTGCCTCCTCCTCATCAGCTACGGTTCCCTATTCCTCAAAGCGGCCTTCCAGCCCTGATCAGGTCAAAGGTACACTCCCTAAGAAGTCTGCTTTCAAAGACATCAAAGTTACGACTGATCCTGCTATGGACGAACTTTCGAAAACAGTAGCAGCCCTTACACTCGCTGTAAAAGCCAGTCTTGAAGCCCAGACTATCTCTAACAGTCAACCCATGGTTGCACGTAGTTATAACGTCTCTGCATCCGGTCCTCCACGGCTATATACACCACCAGCTCGACAACCGTCCTCCTTCAGCAAGCCAGGTTTTGTTCCAGGCCATCCTGATCAGTGTTGGTATGATGCATGCGACCAAAGAAGGTATTGGATGTGCCCGCAACTCAAAAAGGACAAAGAGGCCAACCTGATCATGTTGGACCACGACGTCTACAAGTATGGGGTACTTCGAGGATCGAACGTTGAGGTAAACGAAGTTCCTGATGTTGTTATCTGGGAAGCCCGCAAAAACTACCAGCCTGACCGGGTTACTATCCTCACCCATGTGGCGAACAACACCTTGTTCCCAGAAGCCGCAAAAGCAGCAAAACGTATGATTGACCAGGGTGTTGGACGTCCCTTTCAACCTGAGATACAGTGCTACCCACCGCTGTACACCCAAGACGCCCGGGTGAATCTTGTCAAATGCGTCTCAGTATCCCCTAAGACACACGCCGAAGTCTTCCTAACTCAAGGAGCAAAAGTGAACGCGGTTACCAGGTCATTGGACACAATGCCGCGACCTATTCTGCGCCGCCCTGATCAGGCAAGGCCCCATTCAGTACGCCAAGGCTTTGTTTCGAAAAACATGCATCGAAGAGGGAGCACTTCCAGCACTGGCTCCCAGGCTGAGGAAATGAACATAGATGCCCGTGCCCAGACTCCTCCGCCGACACAACCTACCGGTCCAGTGCACCCTGATCAGGCCTATCAGACTCCTGAAAGTTCAAGGTCCCCTTCTGTTCAAACTGTACCAGCGGGTGAACACGCCAGCTTCGCATATGGCCCAGGATATGCTCAAGGAGCTGCCGAGGAGAGTTCTATCCCAGATCAGCTAGAGATAATGGACCGAGCTGCATCTGCTCAAGCCATTGCCAAGAAATTTGGAGGGAATATTACTATTCCCTTCGAAGTTGCGCTTCGAGTCTGGCCTCAGCTCAACCAGGATGCGATGGTAACGATACGCCAGATGCTAGACAGCAATGGGTATTCGGACATCTACCTAGAGGCTCCCTCTGACCTGATCAGGGAGGTGAAACCATACGAAAGATCAGGAGCCCGCGAGGCAATCGACAGATATAACAGAGACGTCCCGAACCTTATGAGCGGAACTGCCAAGGTCAGACTTATCAAGACGCTTGACTTGACCACCATTGAGTCTATTGTTCCGCACTTTATGATGCCTCACTTTGTGATCAACGTCCGAGTCGGTGGTCTTCGCCCTGATCAGAACGACTTGATCAAGGGTGTCATTGACAATGGTTCACAAATCAACGTTATTTCAAGATCGTACGCAGACAAGCACGCTATCAAGCTTACAACTACGCCGCTTGGGATGAACGCTTTTGATCCCAATTCAGAGCGTGTATCCTTTGACGGAGCAGCTATCGTGCCTGTCTGGGTTGAAGGCCACTGTTTCTTAACCAGCATGTTCGTTGCTGACGATAGAAGGATGAACGAACCACTTCTTCTGGGATCGCCTTTTGGGTTCCATACGCAGATCAACTACGTGTATGGCCCCGACATGATCACGCTGATACTGACAACAGGGCAAACTCGTCTCCATGTCCCGGCCGCATTTCTGAAGTTTGGCAATCCTGGGAAGTTCCTAGATTATCTGCCAGACTGGGACAACTATGTGAGGGCTCTCAAGGACCATCTCCCTGATCAGACCAAGCTGCATCAAGACCAGGAAAACTAGACTCCAGTAACGGTACCAGGACCGTTGCTGGAAAGCTCAAAATTCCTGGACATGAGCTACAAGAGGACGACGAAGAAGTGATCCGGTTATCTGAAAAAGAATCGGATTATCTGGTGAAAATAGCACTGACTACACTCCTTGCCCCAGCTGTGGAGGACGTCTGTAAGACTGCAGCAAAGGTTAGAAGGCACGACAACAAGGGATGTTCTTGCTGCGTTGGAAAGCCCAACCCGCCCCACATCGACACCGATCGTCTTGATCAGGCCTGCCGTCCCAAGGTTTACCTTAACCAGTTGTCAGCGACTATTGGGAAGGTTAAAGCAGAGAGAATCAGGAAGCGGATAGTCAAGCACTTCGACATGATCAACAAAAAGGGAACGCCTTTACCCCCAGAGCAACCGCACAACCGCGAGGTGGATCCGACAAAACATCATCCCCAGCCTGATCAGGCCAAGCGGAATGCAAAGGTATTCACCATGTATAAGGGAAAAGACAAGAAGATACATCCGGTTGACGACCAACCGTCTGACGGATCAACCCCTGACGGCGATCCCCTCTGGAAAGTCAAGAACCTGGCTGAAGCCGAAAAGACAATGCAACCCGATGAGGGACCGTTCCGAGGCCTGATCAGGCCTAAGTATTCAAGTATTGAGCCGTATTCACGCCTCAAGCCAGACAGATTGGCGGCCATCATGGATACACTGGGTCATCTCCTACCCCGCGAGAAGGACCTATTCCTCCAAGTCCTTCTGAACCGCGAAAATGCTCTCGCTTGGGACTTCTCCGAAAACGGCGCGCTTGACCCGAAAGTTGCCCCCCACAGGTGATCAGGACTGTGCCTCACAAAGCCTGGCGAGAAAAGGGGATTCCAATACCCAAAGCGCTTGAATCGCAAGCTATGGACATTATCCGGGTACGAATCGATAAGGGTATCCTAGAAGAAGGTCATGGGGCTATACGAAACCCTTGGTTTCTTGTGAAGAAGAAGGATGGTTCCCTACGCCTGATCAATTCAGCTACTCGGATGAATGGGGTCACGATTCGCGATGCCTTTGCTCCTCCAGGAGCAGAGAATTTCTCAGAAGACTTCGGCATGTGCCAGATTCTCTCACTCTTGGACTTCTTCTCTGGATACGACCAAGTCCCTCTAGCTGAGGAAAGCAGGGATTTAACAACGTTTGCTACTCCCCTTGGACTTCTACGCATGTGCACCTTACCGCAAGGTGGTACCAATTCTGTGGCACAGTTCATGAGAGTTATCACCCGGATACTCTATGACCTTATACCACATTGTTGCCGGGCTTTTCTTGATGATATCGTCATCAAAGGGCCTACAACCACGTACAACGATGAGGAGCTCCCTGATCAGGCCGGCATTCGACGCTACATCTACGAACATATTCGCTACGTCGACATGGTGCTCTTCAATGTCGAGTTGGCAGGCTGCACAATAGCTGGCAAGAAATCACAATGGCTTCAGAGAACGGCTATTATCGTCGGCTATGTCTGCGGTTCTGGAGGTCGCCGCCCTGATCAGGCGAACGTCATCAAGATCAAGGAATGGGAAGAATGCAAAGACATCAGTGAAGTCAGGTCATTTATAGGGATGACTGGGTTCTACAGATCATGGGTCGACAGATACTCGGAGATCACTTTGCCTTTCCAGAAACTCCTCAAAAAGAACGCCACGTTTACCTGGGGGCCTGATCAGGTCAACGCTATGGATACCCTCAAGTCCAAACTAACAACTTCTCCTGTAATCATTTCATTATCCTATGGCCCAGAAGCTGGGTTAGTGGTCATCAGCACAGATGCGAGCCTGCAAGGTTGGGGCGCAGTACTAAGTCAGATGATCGGTACCCAGAGGGCTGTGGCAAGGTATGAAAGTGGTATCTGGAGAGGCGCTGAGTTAAAATACGACTCTGGGAAACTGGAATTGAGAGCGGTTTTGATGACATTGAAGAAACTCCGAAACTACGTCTACGGTATCAGATTTTTGTTGGAAACTGATGCACAGGTCCTAGTTGCTCAGCTCAACGGAGGGTCTCACGATCTTCCTGGCGCCCTAATCACTAGGTGGATTGCTTGGATACGTCTTTTCGACTTTGACGTCAAGCATATACCGGGGACGAAGAATGTGGTAGCGGATGCGCTATCACGAAAAGCACCAGGGCTGTCCGATATCGAGGAATACGAGAGCCCTGATCAGGTTGAAGATTTCATCGACGCCAACCTCTACTTTGTTCGACTGCACGAATCATTCGGAGGATCCAAATCCGGCATTTCAAAGACCTCTCACCTGCATCAACTCCCTGAAGCATGGCTCCGCCCTGATCAGTACTGGACTGACCGAACGAGACAAATCATCTTCCATCTAAAGACACTATTACGCCCAGATGGAATATCACAGCATACTTTCAGGAAGTTCAAAATAGAGGCCTGGTGTTATCTTGCTCGAGATGGCTATTTATACCGCCGACCAACAAAGAGATGCCCGATCCCTAGACGCCTTATTGACGACCCAAAGATTCAGGAGAACCTGATCAGGAACGCACACGTCGAATCAGGACACCGGGGACGCGATGCAACATTCCATCGGCTTTCTGTATCCTATATCTGGAAAGATATGTACCGGAGGGTGCAGGCCCAGCTCGCGTCATGCCCATCCTGTCAGAAGGCTCGATCAACCCGGATGGACGACTGGCACATCGGTACAGTCCCAGGGGAATTACCGTTTACGAAGATATCTATTGATGTCCAGTGGATTGGTTCCTGGGCACTGATCGAGGGACGTTGTGATATGACGGGTTGGCCCGAAGCAAGGAGGGTAAGGACTGTCACCTCTGATCAGGTCGCCGACTTCATCTGGGAAGACTTTTTCTGCCGCCACGGTGTCTGTGGAGAGATGATTGTCGACGGCGGACCAGAAAACAAAGGGACTGTGGACCGCCTGAATGAAAAGTATGGTATCAGAAAAAGGGTTATATCAGCGTATAACTCAAAGGCGAACGGGGTCAATGAACAAGGCCATAAACCCATTGCGCACACCATCTTGACCTGGTCAGACGGAGGAAAAAGAGATTGGGGGAAAATTGTGCCTACTACGCTGTTTGCAGACCGAACGACAGTCCGCGCACCAACGGGCTACACACCTTTCTTCCTAACTACAGGATACGAAGCGATCACACCCATCGAAGAATCTACCTTGACTTGGAGAGTATTAGACTGGGGACGAGTTCGTGACCCTGATCAGGAACTCGCTGCCAGGATACGCTCCTTTGAACAACTTGAAATCGATAGGGAGACTGCAGCCAAGAATGTGGCTCTTGCGAGACAGAAATCTGCGGATTACTATAACGCACGCCATCAACACACAATGCGGTCAGAGAAGCTTCAGCCTGGCGATTTAGTTCTTGTCTTCGACGAGAAACGCGCAATCGACAAATCGAAAGCTAGGAAACTTACATACCGTTGGCAAGGCCCTTTACGAGTCCACTCTGTGTCTGAGAACTCGGCATCGTACCGCCTAGAGACGCTTGCTGGTGACCTTATCACGAGGGCCACATACGCTGGGAAACGTCTCAAGAGATATATCGAGAACGACGCCGGTTTCTGGGAATCGGAGGATCCTGCGTGGGCCAAAGCCAAGCTCAAAGACGAAATAACCCCCTTCTTCCCAGCCCAGGACCACCAAGACGAACTTTGGGAAGTAGACATGGCTCCTAGCCCTGATCAGGACGAAGACATCATGCAGACACGATCGAGGCTTCAACAGCTACGCCTCGAAAAAGAAAACGACACGCTCCGCAGAGAACTAGAGCATTGGAAGTCATCGTCCAGACTTGCGATTGACATCCAACCCAAGGACTCGGCAAAGGACGCGCAGTATACTGACATGACACAGCAAGCCTGATCAGGCCTGCTGTCATATCCTTTCATTTTCCTTTATTAATGTCTACATCGCACTGTCATTTCCATAACATTTCGCACGCATTTCCTTTCACGAAAAGTTCATTGATTCGGAACCCTTATTGCATTCATCAATAAACTTGGGGACGAGGTTATCTGGGAAAGGAAACGCCTGATCAGACCTAGAAACATCCCAGAATCACCCCAAATCCTAAGCCCAAACCACCAAGTCATCAGACAACCCTATATCCCTAGTCCGAATCCTCATCATCACCCTCCGTCTTCCAGTCAATACTATCCTGCACCCAGATAGAGCCATCCAAGATACCAGGCGACTTTCTCTCCTTCTTAGAAAGCCCCTTATACTGATCCTTGATAAGTTTCATAAGGTCAGACCGAAAGAACTGCGTGGAATCGATAGAAGAGATATTGTTAGGAATGCTTGAGGGGACGCCGCCGCCGCTGGCTCTTCGCTCTTTGGTGCCCTTTACCCGACCCATGTATCCAAACTCCTGGTAAAAGTCCTTGTTTCGATAGCAGCATTGGACTTGAGTCTCGTGGTAAAGGCAATTGGAGCATGCATTGCCGAATTCGTTAGGAAGGGAGACGCATTCCCAGAAGGGGACGAAACAGGCGACCTGATCAGGCCCAGCCCGGACAGCCTGCCAACCCTTTTCGCAGCATTCGCAAGGGACAGCATTGCGACCACCAAGGCCATGGACAGCCAAGGCGGCGCCAGCCTGCATGCGACTAGCAAGCTTCCAAGCCAGGGATCCAAAAGCACCCTGATAACCGGCATAGACGAAAACGCGACGCTTGAACAAGCCAGTCTTGGTATGATCTTGGAGGACTTGAAGGACATTGCCTCTTGCGATAGCCTGCCAGAAGGCCTGAGCAACTTTCTTGCGAGTCTGACCATTCTGAATTTCATCGGCAAACTGGACTTCGCAGTAGAGACTACCGATCGGAGACTCGAGTTTTCGCCACACTAAGGAAGTTGCGATCTGTCTGATCAGAGCTATGAACCTTCAACAGGGAGTAGGGGACGACTTACTGTGGCATTGACAGGAGTTATGGCCAGGTAATTGTTTCCAGCAGGAGGGTCGCAAGTAAAGAACCACGGGTTCCAGGCAGCTTCAGGCTTGCGCTTGGGAGGCATGGCGATGTCTGATCAGGGCTGTGGTGAGAAAGTTAAGTTGATTTGTTGAGTGGTTTTGAGTTGCAGAAAAGATGAAGCTTAAGAAGCAACGTGAAGTTGTGTGGAGGAAGAGAAGAAGTGATCTGAAGGAAGATTCCTGGCCTCTTTTTTTTTATCCTGCTAACTACGGCCTGCTTCTTCTAATTCACTGATCAGAGGGAAGGAACTAAGAGAAAAGAAGTGATTCACTGTTGTGAACAGGAAGAAGTTATTCACTTTTGTGAACATTGGGCAGATGAACAACTATCTTCTTTACCTTCCTGTATCCACCTTTTTACTCTTTCTCTTCAGCAACTTCGAATTGCTCCTTCCCTCACAACAAGGTCAAGATTCGTCAGAAACAAAGCTATAAAATAAGCCCAAGAAACCCGCCAACAACAACTTTCACTTTTCCTTCTTCCACCACCACCATCAACTTCAGCCACACAATTTCGAGCCAACCAACAATCAACAACACATTATTCCCTTTTTCTTTTTACTTTCTCACCCTGATCAGACCCATCTACACACATCTACAACTCATCATGTCTTCCTTCCAAGCCGTTAACGTTATCTGGAACGCTCCTGCCGGCCCAGATGGAACCAACAACATGTGGGTTTTGGAGCACTGCCAAACTCTCTTCGAGGAATGCCGCATTCAGAATCTCAGCGACAATCTCCCTGATCCGACTAAGCAAACCACGAACGCCATCAAGATGCCGCAGAAATCACAGCACGCGCATCCCGAAGACCTCAAGCCACTCGAAGGGTTCACAGACCCGGCTACTGAAGACCCTATTACTCCGCTGAGACCTCCCAACTGTCCTGGTCCGTCTGATCAGGGCGACGGACCTGCTCCCATGTGGATTCCGAGTAACAACGCGTCTGCCATAAGCATGATGTATAATCGCTGGGGCAAGGGCTTTTCGCAAGATGGTTCTTGGGGGAAGTGGACAAACAACGAGTCAAAAACCTACCTCCCTGGTATCTACAACGCGGTTGGACATTTGGTTAAGCAGTCTTGGATGGCCTCTGACGATGTCCAAAGTCTTGCGGCATTTGCTGCTCGAGATGCCAAGGTCAATTGCTTTGTTGCCGACAGCCCTCCTTGGAGCCGCGACACCCCTACTGTGACGGCCAGACCTGATCAGAAGGACCGGATTCGAAAGGCGGACTGCCTGGCGTTCGTTACCCATCACATCAATCATTTCACTGCCCTCTTCGTTAACCAAGTTACTGGACGATCTTTCTGGTATGACAGTATGTGGAGAGACGGAGATGCAACCCTTCGGTACGCTATTGATATGGACCGTCTCTGCAAGTTCTATCAGAGCGTCAATGCTGCCCCCAACCTGATCAAGGTGATCCGCATGAAAGCAGGCATTGTGATCGGCCCTCAACAGCCTGACGAGTGGACTTGCGGAATGCATGCAGCGGAATTCATCAGATGCTGCATCCGAGACAACGTTACCAACATCGCAAAGAGTCCGACTTGGACGAAGGTTTGGAACGATAGCAGAGGCAACGTCATTGACCACGTTAACCATTTCTGGCGTCAATGGGTTACTGAAGAGTTCAGTAAACCAGGAAACTACGGCAGAAAGGACCTTCGCAATAAGCCGAGGCTTGTACTGGACAGTTATGACAAGAGACTTCGACAAGAAGCATCCAGCAAGCCTGATCAGACTAAGGAGGACACACCGGAATTCTCTAACACCTTTCCTGGGACTTTTAAGCCCATCAAAAAGACGCCTTCTTCAGCACCTCAAGACGACGATCTCACCAGTCTCTTTGGTTCGATGCGCCCCCCCTCAGATACTGGTGCGCCACAGGACCAGCCAGGCTTCTCTACCACGCCAGCCCCAGAAGGTAACGTGGTGAGGCCATCTCCTAAGCCTGATCAGGCTCAGGATGTAGACGACGAAGAGGAGGTTAGCGATGCTGAGTCTGAGGCCACCGCGAAGCCCGCGCTCCCGCGCTGCCCCTTAACCTCAAGCGATTGTCTAATGTGGCTTCTACTGCGTACATGAAGGCTGAAGGACAGCGAAATGCTTATGAGAAAGCCCTGTTCAATACACAGGAGCAGCGCCACAAGCTAAGGGAGCGCAGGGTCAAGTCTATTACCGACTACACCAGGGACGAATATGTTAGTATGTTCGAGAACCCTTATGAGACGGTGGCAGTGCGACAGCGCCCTTGGCAGCTGTTTCTACGACCTACAATTGCACCTGGATGGGAGGGTCATAAGCGGTATGATCAGGGACGGGAGTGGGATGCTAAGTTCGAGGAGGAGCGTCTCGAGGCTGAGAGGGAGGCAGCTCGTAACGAGGCGAGTGGCTCGAGATACTCTTTCCGCCGCCGCTAGGAGGACATCACAGGTCTGATCAGGGAGGATACAATAAGGAGGATTGGTTTTTGCTTTTACATGTCGTCTGCCCCTATGCTTTTACACTTTTCTCCTTTTAATATGTTGCGCGAAGAAGAAAACTGGGGGACGATTGGAAAGGGGCAGGGTTTCGCGTTTTCATTTTTCCTTTTATCAGCCTGCAGACACAATCACAGGCCTGATCAGATGTGACTAAGCAGGACCCTTCCAAGTACAAAAGGGGGCTCTAGTCAGATACTATCACAGAGATCGGGATCTCATCACGAAGCAGACAGAGAAGCTTGACATCTTTAGACAGGCACTTAGACAGACACGGACGAATTCATCACTTTGATATCTAAACAAGACGTGTAATAAGTGACTGTTGCTTTGTTTCCTTAGGCCTGACTAGACCTCTAAGGTCTAGGAGGGTATCCTCCTCCTCCAGAGATCACGACACACACATGCGTACCACTTAGCAACAAGGGCAAATCCGAACAGACTGCAAGACGTGAAGGATACACTTTTCTGGTTTGCTCATGGCCCTGATCAGGCCAAGGAGGACCTGAAAAGAGTAGTATCTCACGGTCTAGGCGTTGGGGTAGTCACTTGGGGTAATCGGTCACTCCAGGTGCACTCGTGACGATACTGGGACCTTGGTGTTTGGTGTGGTTTGTGTGTCAACTGCCCACTTGCTGGCTTCCTTTATCCCACGCAGTTTCAAAACCCTTAGCTAAGAAGACTACTAAAAAAACGCCTAAGAAGATTATAGTTACCCCTTTAAAGAAAAGATACTAGAAGGCTAATAGTAAGTATTTACTTAATTACTATAAGTAATTACTATAATATTAATTTACTTTTAGCTATTATTCTTTATGAAATCTGTAAGTATTAGAAGTTAACTAATTTTCTAATAGTAAAGGTACCCTTTTAACGTTTTTATAAAGAGATTATATATAATATTTCTTAATAAGATAACCTTTGCTTTTAGAAAGCAGTTATTCTTATACTCTAGGAGGCTACTAAGACTTATCTTATAGCTATATTTAAAGGTATATAATTACTATAATTAATTACTATAATAACTAACTTATATTTTTTTAGCTATTTAGTTAACTACTATTTATACTAAGAAAGTTATTATTATAAAGAAAAATATAGACTATGTTAAGTCTATTCTTCTTACTATAAAGCTAATAAGCAAAGACTAATACTATTATTAACCTTTTTTAAAGTCCTTTTAGTCTCTTAGATAAAAGCTATTTAGTTCTAGTTCTGGTTTAAATAAAGGAAAAAAAAAAACTAGCCTAATTACTATATAAAAGCTTATACTTAAGTAGTATTATAAAAGGCTTTAGGAAGAGAACTATAGTTTAATAAGGCTTTAGAAAGAAAACTGTAGTTTAATAGTTAAGGGAAATACTATAGAAGGAAATAAGAATACTACTTAAGAGACATTTCTATAAATAAACTAGTACTAAGAATTACTATAAAAGATTACTACAAATAAAAAGATCCTATTACTAATACCTAACTTTCTACTTATAAACCTCTATATAATATACCTTTTTTAACTTATTACTTAGTAATAAATTTTAATATTTTACTTTTAAAACTACTAGTTTTTTCTTCCTTGTTATTAATTAGTTTAAAACAACTAAATAAACGTTATAATTAAGATCTTTTTTAAACCTTATAAGGTCTTCTATTGCTTTATTAACCTTAGCTTTTTCTTATAATAATTACCTTTTTTCTTTTTTCTTTTCTTATAGCTTTAACTTTAATATCTTCTTTTTATTACTAAAGTATTTATTCCTAAGCTTTTATATTAATTTATTAATATAAATATTAGCTTTAGTAGTAGTAAATCTCTTTTTTAGTAACTTACTATTACTAATAAAGATATACTATTACTAAAATTATTTATTAAATTACTGGTTTTATAAAAATATAAGAGTACTAAGAAATAATATAGATAACTATAATAGTATATAAAAAGATTAACTTTCTTATATATCCTCTAAGTTATTGTTATTGTTTTTATTATCTTCTTTATTCTTATTTGCCTTAAAGTTAATCTTTTAGCTATATATAACCTTATTAACTAATAATATAGTACTATTCTTCCTAGTGTTTATACCTTATATCTCTTTATATAGATCTAATAATCTTAACTCTTTTTTAAAAACCTACTTATACTTTAAGTAAGTAATTAAAAAGTTCTCTTTTACCTTATTACTATAAGAGACCTTTTTATTATCTTTATTAAATATATTACTTGACTTATAAGTAATAAATGTCTAAATAAAAAACCTCTTTTTTTTACTATTATACTTATTTTTTATTTATTTACTAGTTATAAGATTAGTAAACTAGCCCTTAATATTAATTTATATTATAAGATCTTTAAAAACTAGCTTTTTTGTAATAGTTTTATTAGTATTAAGGTTTTTGTTGAATGGATTCTCTCTTCCTGAGAGAACCCGTTTGTACGATCGTACTCGGGTTAAAGTTAGGGTGAACCAAAGATGTATTTTCCGTGATTATCTTCCTAACTACAAGACTTGGCTTTCGTACACAAGATATATGATCTCGTACGTCCCTGAGTCAGTTCGGCATGAATATACTTTTGATCCCCTCAATGGATAACCGAGGGCCGAATATCCAGTCTGTGCCCTCTGCCATGATGTGTGTCCCTGAGTCGTGCGTGTCGTACAACCAGCTGGTGCTGTTATTCCAACACTCACAACTTTTCTTTTGTGACTGCACGACTCCCTGCGGTGTCCAATCAGGTTGCGCTGATTGTGACATCAATAACCTCATCGTACAACCCTGTGGGTTAGGCCACTTGCGTTGTACGATAAATCACCAATATCAAAACTCCAGGCAACTGTCCATTTCCTTCTTGCCTGGTTGAGCAGGCAAGTCACGTGTTGGTGAAGTTCCTTCCTTCCTCGTTGACTTCACTTCTGCTCCTGCTGTTGACGTACCTTCCTTCCTTCGTACGGCAACCTTAGCTATTTAAACCCCTTCTCACTTGTTTTTTTCTTTTCCTCTTTTTCTTTTCTTCTTCACCCTTCGCACGCGTCGTTTTCCCATACAATCGATCAACGACGATCTTTCCCCTTCTTCCTCAATCAACTCCAACAACAACTACTTGTACGTAGGATTTCCTCTCATACGTTTCCTCTTACTGATTCATCAATAGCACCTCGCACGATCAATCCATCATGTCTCTCGCTGCCCCCGGTGGTTCGATCTTCGGCAACATCGGTATGCATACCGATGCGTCCGGTGGTCGTTGGCTTCGTCTTCCGACTGGCAACGCCAACAATCGCGCTCTTCTGTTGGCTCTGGCCATCAACGTACGTTGCTTTTGTCCTTACCTTGTCTTCGTACGTTAACCTTGACTGCAGGATGAGGAGCGTCTCATCATCAACATGCCGTCGCGCGATATCGAGATCCGCGTCACTAGCAACACTTCTGTCCAGCAGTTTGTTGCCAGCATCATCCGCCGCCAGGGCTACTTCCTTGCGGTCTTGGTTCAGTCTCGTGGTCGTGCGGCCATTGCCTGTGGCAATAAATGCGCGACTACTGACTCCCCGCGCTTCCGCCAGTGCACCCGCATTCCCACCTTTCAGGGTGGCGCCTGCGCCGAGTGCGTCTAGCAGTCGCACGGCGCTCGCTGCACCCACCGCGGTCGAGATGTTGATTCGTCCGACAACCCGGGCGATGATGATGACGATGATGACAACGGCGGCCCCAGCAACTACAAGGCTCCCAACGTCACTAATGCTCGTGAGCCTCGTACGCCTGGCAGCAAGCTTGGCAAGAACATCGGCAAGGGCGGTCGCTTCCTTGGCACTTCTGCCAGCCCCATGGTTATCGACAAGGAGTAGTCGCACAACTTCTCTTCCCTGAAATCTCGTACGACAATCAGATGGATCGCACGATATGGTAATTCGGGAAGGTTGTGGATATGGTGGAGGTACGATCCGACATTGATATCGGAATTGGTAGTGGTCAGGTATATCAGATACCTTCTTGAGGTTACACTTCGTTTTCAGATAGTTGGTAACGTACGGCGGTGAGGTCGTACGAATTAATTGTCAAGTGTTTTCTCCTAATCTTTCAACGTACGCCTCGATTCGAATCCTCAATGTGTTTGTTGTAATCAATTGTCCAAGTGCTGAGTTTGGCGATTTCTTGGTGAAGGCGTCGGCAGGGTTATCTTTCCCATCAATCCATCTCACTTCTGAGATCTCTTTCTTTTCGTACGACTCACGTAGACTCATAATATCAATCATAAGCCTCTTTTCATCTGTTGTGCCTAGTCGTACGAGGCACTCGTACAGAGATCGTGAGTCTGAACAGATGATAACTGGAATCCTTGGGAGTTGTAATGTACGAAGGATCTTGGTAAGTGTCGTACTAAGGGATATCCCACTATCAAATCCTGTGGTCATCCCGTACAACTCGCTTGCAAGTACGCTTCGTGTGACTCTCTTGCACTTTGTTGAACTCCAGTGTATAATGTTTCCTTTGATCTGGAAGTCTGTTGTCGTGCGAGCTGTTTCCTCAGCTAGTACGATAACAAATCCAAGTTGTGACGATAGATCTGAGTTGTTTGCAAATGATCCATCCGTAAAGATGTACATCTTCGCACGATGGAGATCAAGAGGGATATATGTAAGACCTCGTGTAGGGTTATCGATTTGCCACTGAAGTCGTACATTCAAAGCTTCAATATCCTTCTTATCAGGCTCCTTAGTTTGGGCTGCAGTTGACAGGTCGTACGATGCCTCTGGTTGACAGATAGATGCGAGGTATGCTCCTCTTGCCCTTTGGGAAACATACTGCTGATGTGCATCGTGCGCATCAGGATCAACGAGTTTCAGGTGCTTTGCCTGGCCTTTTTGAGTAAAGGTAATGTGGTCATTGTGCGATTGAATCTTTCCCCCATTAAAGTCAATTTCACTGTTGGGCGATAAGGTGGTCTT